TGTTACGTTTCAGTCACCCCTTCCCTACGAAGCGCCACGCACGTGATGACTCTATTATTATTAAAATAAATAATATTATATATATTCATTTATTTTAATAAAATATAAAAATTTTTAATAAAAATTATATAAATAAATTTCTTACGTATCAATAAGTTCTATTCACAAAAATTAATTATTTTTAATAAAAACAACTAAAGTATTGAAAATTCCCGAAAAGCCATCATGATCTTCTTTTTACTCTTAATATATCTCTTACCTTCCATCAATATAATTAGCTCGTCATTGTTCTTTACTAATTGAGTTCGGGTTTAAAAGGTTATAAAAATATATTTTTTTATATTAATTTTTTGTTATCTAAGAATTACATTAAATATAATTAATTTAGAATTAAGTTACATTAAACCTTATAAAGGAAAACTTTTTTAACGTTTACTTCTTCATTAATATAATTCAAATTCAAGATTTTATGTAAAGAATATTAAATTTTTTCCATTCAAATCAACATGTCATTGGTAATAAAAAAGTATTTTAGACATTAATTTATATGAGAGAACAAAAAATATATATAGCATTATTTTGGTAGCATGTGAATATTTTTAATTGAACCCTTTAAAAAATTAATATCAATTTTTATATTTTTATGTATATTAATAATAAAAAATATAATAAATAAACCATTAACATGTATCCTCAAAATATATATTAAAAAAATACTTAGCTATTAACTAATTTTTTATTTGAACTTGTAAAATGAAAATTAATTTTCTTTGATTTTCTAACTAACCTTATCTCTATATTATAAAAATTTGAACTTAAATTTTTTGATTTATTTATGAAAGAAATTATAATTGCCTTACTTGGTCAACGACCTAAATAACTCAATAGTTATTTTTTTTTGTTGAAAGTAAAAAGTTATAAGTTTGAATCGCATAACATGCGAGTAAGGCGAAATAAGGGATGTAAGATAATTGTCTCTTATTGTGCAACAAAATAAAATAAAAAATAAAAAAAAATTACCTTTCTTAAGTCATTACTAGTCATTAATAAGTTGTTACATCCTAATAAGTTTGATTAATAGAGTATTAAAATCTCACTATCATGAAACAAATGACACGTCATCTTTTATGGTCAAATTTAAACACGTGCTCCATGAGATGCCACGATGACAACTCATATTGGCCAGTGATCACATG